TCTTTTTTTAGAATCATTAAATCCTTACTCTAAATAATACCTAATTATTTACTAGGATACGATTAGAACATGCCATAAGATCTCATTAATGTTGGCAGATTGATCGAATCGCTCCCCGACTGGTAGTCTGTCGTTCTTTTCGTGGAACATCAATGGGATCTTTGCTAAACCTCTTGGTGATAAATTGCAAAATAATGAATGTTTGAATTTGATATGTCAATTTGATTTCGTGATTCTTTGTGAGACCTGGAAGGAGACGATTATGGACGTAACAGGATATCGATCGGTAGTTTCAGGTACCTCAAAATTAGGAAACAATGGTCGCAACTCAGGAGGAGTTGCTTTACTCTACAAAAATGAACTCCATAATTGGGTATCAATGGAAAAAATAACTCCGAACTTTTTGCGGTTCAAAATTAGCAAACAGTACGTAAAAACCTCAAAAGATATTTATGTTTGTGGCGTCTATATTCCGCCTAACGGCTCAAAATACTTTCTCCCTGAGATGTTTGAAGATCTTGAAAACGACGTTGAAACTTTTTACTCTCAAGGATCGATTCTTCTCATGGGTGACTTTAATTCTAGAACAGGAAAATATTCGGATTGTGTAAGCCAAGAAGGAAACACCAAGATTACCAATGATCAGTCCCATCTTTCTTCAGGTTGCACTCATAGAAATAGTTTTGACAACAACATTAACAATCACGGAAAACGCCTTCTTGAAATCTGCAGAAGCGCAGATCTTAGAATACTTAACGGTAGAGTTAGTGGAGACTCCTTAGGAAGAGCCACATTTCATGGAAAGGCTGGAATAAGTGTCGTTGATTATGCCATATGTGATCAAACGTTATTTTCACACATACTAAACTTTATTGTTAAAGAGCCCACGTATATATATTTATCGGATCATAGTCCACTGGTGACCTGGTTATGTACTGACACCGATATTCGTAATCAAGATCCTTCACCAGAGAGTGATACTTTAACACGATTACCAAAACAATTTATGTGGGAAAGTGACTCTAAACCAAAATTCAAAGCAGCTCTTCAATCTCCGAATTTGCAAATGATAATTTACGAATATTTAAGTGACATCAATTCAGCTAAAAATGTTAACACTTCCGCGGAACAGGTAAAAAATATTCTTATCACAACGGCAAAAAGGTGCCTAAAGATAAGAACGACGAGACGACATAAACGCACCTATTCACGCTCAAATAAAAAATGGTTTGATAAGGAATGTCGCTTAAAAAGATACGAATTAAGGAAATTGTCAAATGAAAAACACAGAGATCCCTTAAATACCACTCTACGTGAAAAATATCATATTGTTTTACAGCAGTATAAGAAATTACTCGCACATAAAAGAAATGAATATTACAACAATAAACTTTCAGAATTAGAGGATATAACATACAATTTGGATACTAAAAAATTTTGGAATTGCTTAAAATCAATGGATGACACTATAAAATACAAAGACACTCCACCAATTGCAGAAGAGAATTGGATGAATTATTTCCAGTGTCTACATTCTAATAAGCCACTTACTTCTGAGCAACAGAAAGTTGTCAATGAGTTAAGAACACGAGAAGACGTCTTAATGCAATCACGACCTCTAGACTACTTCATAACAGAAGCTGAAATAAGCAAGGCAGCAAGAAAATTAAAGAATAACAAATCTGCATACTCCGACAAAATAAGAAACGAAATGATTAAAGCTAGTTTACCAACACTGCTACCTGTTTACCATAAACTTTTTAATACTGTTCTTAACTTAGGAACAGTGCCTAAAAATTGGTGCAACGGTCTTATCACTCCCATATTTAAATCTAGCGTAAGAAATGACCCATCAAATTACCGCGGGATTTGTGTTTCTAGTTGTCTGGGAAAGTTGTTCTTTTCAATTTTAAACCAAAGACTTCTTGAACACGTCACTTCGCTGAACATACTCCACAAGTCTCAAATCGGCTTCTTACCTAAAAATCGAATATCAGACCACCTCCTAACATTACGAACAATTATAGACAAGTACGTCCACTGTCACGGTGAGAAAGTATACGCTTGTTTTGTTGACTTTAGAAAAGCCTTTGACTCAGTCTGGCATGACGGACTTTTATATAAATTATTACAAATTGGTGTAGGGTATGTTTCTATAAGTTAATCCAAAACCTATATTCAAACTCTTCGTGTGCATTGAAAATAGGTACAAGTCAAACAAAATCTTTTAGCTATTCACGAGGCGTACGCCAGGGCTGTATTTTAAGCCCCTTACTTTTCAATTTATACGTTAATGACTTACCGTCCGCATTTCAAAATACTTTATCAGAACCTATCATCCTTCCAAATGGTACCAAATTAAATTCGCTTTTATATGCTGATGATTTAATTATTATATCACGATCTAAAATAGGATTACAGAACTGTCTCAACACATTATCCTCTTTTTGCAACTCTTGGATGTTAGATATAAATTCCAAAAAGACCAAAGTTATGGTCTTTCAAAAACGAGCGAAGAAAAACTCCAGTCTAGAATTCCATATAGGTAAAGAAACCATTGATATTGTCCATGAATATACGTATTTAGGAACCCGTATCTCCTCAACCGGTAATTTTAATATCTCACTCGAACACTTGAAACAGAAGGCTCTTCATGCTCTTTTTAGTTTAAGAAAACACACAAACTTTAGCAAATTAAAACCTT